TTCCCTCCCCCATAAAAGTTCCCGAAGCGCCGCGTTCCAGAACTCACATAATTTCCGATAAAAAAAGAATGGTCACTTCAGCCTTATACTGGCCTGAGCTTCAGCACTGAAATATTTCCGAATGCATGAAAATGGCGATTTCCAACTATTAGCCATTAGTTTATATATAGTAGCATATCTCATCATATAGTCTTACGGTAAGGGAAAAACGATGGTGAATTTTGGCTTTCCATAACCATTATTATTTTTATGAAATAAATCTTTTATACTACACATTCCTATGCCATTTTTTCAACATTGTCAATTTTTACAGTTTTCTCTAAAAAATAATTTAAAACTGGGTAAAAGAAAATATTGAATGACTTCGGTCTGATTAAGGGTGTATTGTGAGAGAAAAAATACTATTGAATAGAATGGAAGCGTTTTACATCGCTGGAAAATAAAATAAATGTCATCGGATAACACTAGCAGATAGGAAATTTCAAAAATATCCTCTTAACCACCGCCTTCGGTATTTTTGGGAACTTAAAAAGAATACGCAGCCTGTAATACTTGCAATCAGTATATATGCACACTAATTATTAGTATATGAGGTAACAATCTGAAAGCGGAAGTTGTCAATCCCGGAGAATGACCATGGAATTATGGGTACCATTCTTCATGTTTTTTTATTTGTAATTGTAATTAAGTATTTATTAAATTTGTTATGTGAATATAGTCAAGTTGTTTAAATAGCATATTACTCAAACAAGGCATGGAATTATCCAAAACGCTGGTCCAAACATATTTCTGACAAAACAATGTTTTTTTCGGGGTGTACCTTTTTGGTAAAAATTATATCGTCTGGAGTTATATAAGACAAACCATAGCGCACCGGCAGGATATATTAAGAACTATTTAGTTGACGACAGAGAGCGTCCCATCAATTTGATCTAATTGGAGACCAAAGAATAATATCATATGAAAGAATACACTCAATCACACTTATTTAATTACTCAACTTTTGCTTACTTACTTTTTAAGTTATTTATTATTAACTTTATTACATTTTAAACACCAAATCATAAATCATAAAATTGTCTCCACGGTTGTAATAACGCTATCTATCTATATTATGATATTAAACTATTAAAAGCCTATATAGTAATTAATTTAGTGCCCATAATTATATTTAATAATATGTAAATATAAGGTGATAAACACAAGGATACTATAACGGGTAAAGGTGACCGGAAAAATATAAATTATACTAATTAAGTCCGACATCTATGGCACTGTAAATATTAATAAATCATTATACACATATTATACTAGTACAGTATGTTAGAGAAAAAACATTTCATAACAATTTTATAAAGAAAAAAAAATACGCGTTAGATTTCAACGTATTCGGCGGGGAGAGGGTGTTTTAGAATGTACTGAATATAGTATACACCGCCGACTTACTTTGCGGTTAATTCACGTGAATTTACTCTCACTTGTTTCGATGAACGTACTTAGTGTTACGTTAGATACACGCTCTTAGCTTCCGGACAGCTAGCTAGACCAGTGTAACCTAAATAAGCTACAGATCAGGAGGACGAATAGAATTTTCAAGTAAGGTCCTGCCAAAACAGAGCTGGCCTTGATTGTTTTATTACGCAAATCGGTATGGTAAACAACATTCCACCACAACCAAAAACTTATTTTTTATTCACTGATATCTACAATAGTTTTATATTTCACATGTCCCCCCAAACGTATTAAAGAATGAAAGTTAAATAAAATCTTATTTGATGCATTCTTCTGTAAAATATTGCGACGATGTTAATTATATTATAACAGCTAATCAGAATTACTTGCTCGGAAGGGTCCTTTCTAAATGTTCGTAAACTTGTCATGGGTACTGACTTTTCACTAAACCGTGCTTATCTTCGAAGGATCGGGATTCTCTGTATTTGGGCTACCAACATATTCAACCATTTTAAAGAAATGCTAAATACCCACATGACAAATGCGATTAAATATCTGGTGGTGTTGGTACTGAATTTAGGCTAGTGACACTTAGCTTTCGTTTTTCGAGTTGTGTCTTCTTTTTAGAGTTCTACTGAGTTTCGCCTGGCACATTACACATTTTTGTTGAAATTTTGTCAACCCCCCCCCCCGATGAAATAATTAAAGATCTACGAGAAAGCATCAATAGAGTGTTTTCCCGTCGTGTAAATTACGTCATATACCCACTGCATACACATAAGCGGATTGTAGATAAGTTATAGAATAAGTTTGTTCTAGACATTATTTGAAGTTGTCGCAGAAATATATTTGAAAGTGGATATTTTTGCATACATCGATTTGATATTTAATTTCCATCGGACATTCTATTTTTGTTGTTGTTGAAACTTTCTGAAAGCCGAAGATGTGTTTTGATACTGTTGGTGTCACCTTATTGCTTGCCGTGTAGCATAACGATTCTCATTGGCGAAGAAATGACGCACGTTGTGTGAAGCAGTGGCTGTGTAGGAAATGTATAAATCCCGCTGTAAAGGATTTTAAAATAAGAATATGCTCATTTTTGTCACGATAATACTGCGTGGTATTGTAAACTCCCCTGGTAGATCAGTCGTTTGCGTGAAAATATTGGCTCATGTCGCCTCCTCAGGTTTATAAAATCAGGATTGCGTAAACGGGGGTCAAAATGCAAAAATTGCAAATCTCTACATCTCGAAACAAAACACTAGCAACAAAATGTCACACGAACTCCCCTTCCCTCGCCAGAAGTAACGATCTAACTTGTGCGCTTTCGAAAACACGAAGGGAAACATTATTGGAGGTTATTTATTTTACGTTAAGTTGTTGATTTCTGTGAATCCGTTGTGCCAGGTTTTCAAGTTTCGTTTTGGTGTATCATTCTAAATTTATACGTTATCCGATACCTGATTCTCAATTTCCCGATATGTGCACGTCTGTAACGGCGACCACTAAAATCTGTACTAGTATCTATATTTGTCTAATAGGTTATCTGTGTATATCATGTCATCGCCACAGTTACGCTATGTGTTGTGGGTCGTTATGATGTCTATTCGGCGATGAAACCAGCTCGTAAATCGAAATGTACTAGAATATTCGGACTGTGAACGTTGTTACGTGCAGAGGAACACTTATGAGAAAAAAAACACGATTTGCGTGACTGATTAGCGATTACAGCTTGCAATGTCAGCTCAACACCGGATTATCCCTCCCCCAGCCTGGGTGATAGCAGATCGTGTGGGCGGCAACTCATCTGAATCACGTTTTACCACTAACAATGAATCATCCGACGCGAAACTCGGTGTACCTGGAAAAACAGTTCAATTTCATAGTTGGCATATTACCATTTTAAGTTATAGGATATCGATTCAGTCAAGCTTGTACCACGTGGTGTTCACGTGACTGGTAGCACCATGGTGACGTTTCCCCGGGGCACAGTACCACTGCGCCGCCCTATTGAGTTAACTTTGGGACTGAAAAAGATAAATTAGTAATTCATTTCTCCAATTAAAATAAAATTAAATCCAATTTACTTTGCTCTCTGTCCCTAGACGAGTGAATAAAACAGTGCAGTACGGTACAACATATGTTGTACGGTCACGAACCAATGGCCGCCAATTTATTTGAAACTTAAAATCATAGTTTCCAGGAATATTGCGTCATTATTTTTATTAACCTTTTTTAAATTTCCTACAACAAGTCAACACCTGTGACACGTACAAAATAGTTATTTGACAATTAGTTCATCATCCTGCATTGGCAAATATAGTTGGGTACCTACAGGACGCGTGGTTACAGTACTGGTTACCATGTTCTGGTATATGTCGCAGAGTGGACTTATCGGGGTCGTGGACCCGCTGGGCGTTTGCTTAAAAATGCACCCGGAATCGGGGCACATTAGACGTGCTAACAGAAAGTTTTTTTCTATAGAAATCCATGACAAGAGGGTCAATTTATGTTTATGTGCCGAACACCATTACGTGGTACGCATTCCTCCCAATCACCCAATTATAACGAAGGGCTAGGATAAAGCACAATCAGTACCAAACTAAAACAGGATTTAGTAGACTGGATGCGAGGTCATAGTATTTACAGTCTGGGGGGGGGGGACAAGTTGGCATCTCTCCGAAGTTTTACGCTTGTCAGCTGGATTTGCGGTGATGGCAGCAGTTTGTTCTCGTACATCCGGGTATACGGCACATCATATAGCAACAGGTTTTTTAATGGTAGACATGATGTATACGGGGTGGCATAGATACGGGACAATGACGGCTTTCAGTCACACACAGCCATGACGTAGTATTGTGAACAAAAAAAATCACAAAATCTGGTGACCTGTGTTTGGGATAATAAAACAAAATAAAGTTGAGTGTTCGTCTGCCAGTGAAAATGTAGTCTAAAATAAGTCCATAGTGCATGGGATGTATCAGATACCGTCCGCCATTGCCATGGAAACGACAGCCTCTTGCACGTTGCGCAAGTCTCGAAGGGGCGGATAAAAGTGTACTGCGCATGCCCAGAATGCGTCTCCGCCATCTTACCGGCTAATATTTTATGCATGCATGGTTGTTGATTTGTTTAGAGTGATTTGGTGTTCATCATGTCTCGCCGTAAACAGGCCAACCCAAACCGGGTGTCAGGTAAGTTTGCCTGTTAACTTGAATATTGTTTCTCAACATCTTTGAAAGTGTGATGTGTGGATGTAGCGAGTGATGTCAAGTTGTCAGACGAAGCCGGAAGCCAGAAGATCTCCGAAGTTAGTGAGCGAGAGTCTCTCAAAGTATGAGTTTATCCTTTTGTATTCGCTTCAGTGGGCTGGCTCTTTTGTTGGGATGCGGGCGGTGTTTTATCGTTCATCTGTCACCTTTCTTACCTGGAAATTTCCCATACCACGATGCCGCGCTGCTAGTTTTAGTCCCCGGAGCACCGCGGATTTTCACCAGAAAAGTTTTAGATTACTTTTTTTTCTGCGTGATCGATGAGAGAAGTTTTTAAAACCCTTCAAGATTTCTCCATCCGTACGAAGTCACGTCCGCCGGTATTGAATCATTCAAAACCGTGAATAAGTTTTGACGTGCTTTTTAATTACGTTACAGAGCGCATCCTGCTTGACTCAACCTGTTAGACCCTACGATTTTTTATTTATATAATATTTTAACTTTAATTTTTGAAGTGAAAACTTCGATGCGTGAAGGCACCCGTAGATGGGAACAGGAAATGATGCAGTGTGGAAATAAAACGTCCTCTTGAAAATGGTGGGGTTTTGGAATGTGAGCTCTTTGCTCTTAAGACCTTAGGCAAACAAAATGGCTGACAAGTAACGAGGTGTTGAATTCTACCTTCGCGTTACCTGCAAGCGCACCTGAATATTTTTTATGAACCTGATCTAACTGTCTCTTTTACCGCGTTTTTTGTTCTAACTCATTAAGGTTTCGAAAAAAAATAATGTTGCGTCAGTTCGTCCGATGGGTGGAAAGTGCTGTGAGGGATGCAAGTTTGTTCTTGAAACTTTAATTGTACATCTATGATATGCAAATGAGTTGCCACGAAGGGCAGGCCTCATCACGTTTTTGTTCGCTTGCTCCAAAGAGTCCGACAGAGTGTAAACGATTAAATAAAGGCATATTCAATGTCATATTGCCAGTTGTCCAGGGTATTTAGTCGTGCCCCAAACTCAAGGAGTTTTTTATATGGTCGTTCAGTCCACCACAACAGGTGTGGCCCCAGATACACAAGTTTTGCCTGGTCAGTCGTTGCCATATGTTAATGATAGAGAAGAGATGTATATCAATGTTGTGAATTTATTTGTGCGAGGTGGACAAAATTAAGAATTTTTTTTTCATGTTTCCATGGTAACTAATGAGAGCAATTGATATTTACTAATTAAAGTGATGGAATGTGCTATCGATTGTCTGATTGATTTGGAAATTATATTGGGAGCAAGAAGGAAAAGAAGAAGGACTTCCTCTTTATTTTTCTAATTTGTGGTTGTCTTTCCTGTTACTAGAATCTGCTGTGGTGTAGTTTTGATGAGTCCATTTCTGCCCCTCAAGCATATGGTAAAACAACAAGGCCAAGGTCATCATCATATTGAACTAAAAAAAATGAAATTCTTAGTAAATTCTTAGTTATATTTTGGAGTCAAATAGATGCCAATTTATCTTCAAGAGCATGGTGTTCTTTTTTTTTTAATCAAGGCAGGCAGTCACTATAGGGGAGCCACTTTATGCCAGGCATTCATTGTTATGCAAATGAATGGTGAAAAGGTGTGCTAGATTTTTCACTATGCTGAGGCCGTTCCCTCCTCAGTTTCCTTTACTTCTCGGTCGGTAAATGCAGAGCTCTCTTTCATCACTTAAAATACCATATGGGTGGAATTTTCCACTCCCCAAATTAGTTTTGCTTGCGCCACTAAATTCCCCTCCAATTAGCATATGCCTTCAGTGATGCCAAATTAAAAAAAAAAGTTCCATCGTTACAGCCTGAGAAATCTTCGCAGGTAACCTACCATTCTATCTCAGACTACCAATCTATTTTTAGATCTTTCAGCACTTGCTTCAAACGCTTTTCATGCGCCATTATAATACTATTGTTCGTTTCTCAACTGCCGCCACACCAATGTATGTTGTTGTCTGCCGACTAAAATCTGCATTAAAAAGCACCATGGCATTAGTTTCTTCTAAGGCATCATTAAACATTACAAATGTGAAGAGAATACTGCTACGGCACAGGAATTTTTAAAACGCAAAGTTTCATAATGAAAAACAATTTTTCAGTTTATTTGATTTGTTAGTTTTTAAAGTTAAAAAAATAGAAGGGTGAAAAATAAGTCCACAAAAAAAAAATACGAAATGAGTCATCATATGATTTAAGTAAACAAACGTCTAACCTTGCATTCAAAGCATTTGATGGATGGAAGGATGGCTTGGAGGAAATAAAGTCCAAAATGTTATTGTTTTATGGGACCGACCTGTAAGTTGACACGAACACATATGAGGTAGAATCAGAGAACTTTACTTGCATCTAAGTTGAAGAATTATTGAATTATCCATTAATTACGGGTGACACTGATCCTATGGGACTTATTGCTGCCAGTTTTTTTATTAAGCTAACTCTTTATCAGAATTCTGGTGTTTTGTTTACTTGGTAAAATAGTTATCTCCGCTGTTCAAAAATAGTCCTTAACAAAAGTAAAAAATAATGGGTGATCATCTATCGGATTTAGAAAAAAACCAAAACAATACATTATTATTTTGGAGGTGAAGGTTTTTTTACCGAATTGATTAACTGCCAAACCATCAAGGTCTATACATTATATATGGTGTAGTTGTCTCAAGGCCACTGTGGTCTTTATATTACTCCTTCCAAATATTGTTTTATTGTTCACTATTTATCATACTGAAAATACCAACTGATGGGTGTACCATGTCTGAATGAGGATAGATGATATTTTGAGAATTCGTATGAGTAAAATTCTATCATAGAGACTGCCGACCTTCATATCTCCTCTGGGTCGAGTCTTTAATAATTAACCACTTAATAAGTTAAATTCATCAGATGTTGGAACAAGCTGGTAGATGCGAGAGAAAAAGAAACATGTGATAACTTATGCTAAATTTGGTGTGAAATAGAGCATGTTTTATCATTAAGCTATGTTTACAGATACCTGTTAATATACCAATATGTAATATCTACTGTTATTGGTGCAAATTTACAAACTTCTGCCATTTTTAATTTCTTTTGTAATTCTGAGTTTTGGGAATCTTAGCCATCCCAATTCAACAGGTGGGATTGCCAAAGTTATATCAGGGAGAGGGTTGATTTATTCAAATTGGGACAAGTTTTAATGTATTTAACATAGAGTTTAATGTACTGTAAACAGCACACAAGAGAGAGCAATTTTTGTGACATTTTTGAGAAAATCATGAAGTTTACAAAATTCACAGCCATTTTTCGCAAAACATTTTTATTCTCACAGACGCTACAAAATTATAAAATAGAAAACATTTAAAGGTTCAGTATACTGTGGAATACTTTATTTTCGCTGGAATTAATTTTTGCTGAAAAAGCTTTTTGGGCATTTTTTATGGATTTTATTTTCACTGATTTTTGATGAGTTTAATATGAAATATAGGAAAAAAAGTACATTCACTGGATTTTATTTTCACGGAATCATCCTTCAGCGAAAATAGCGAAAATAAATTCCAAGCGAGAATAAAGTACTCCACAGTATCAGTACTTTAAATGTCTTTATGAAGTTTGATTTTCATTCTGCTGGAAAAAGTCTCTGCTGAAAATAGATGGAGAAACTTGGCCTGGGGTTCTCTATAGTCCAACTTGAATAGTAACCATGGTGATAGTGCAAGTGTGAAGGTGTGATGTTTGGACTTGCGAACTGCTTACATTTGGTAATTACCTAAGAATTTAAATGGTGTATTCTCACATGGTCCCCACTGGTTGTCATTGTTATGTCAAGTACTCCACCAAACCTATTGTGTTTAGCAGTAGATCTATAGGGTGGAATTTTATCCTGTGTTCTAGGGGGATTATTGTTACTTCAGAAAGTCTGGAAACTTCCAGGTATTATTACTATTGTCTTCAGGGTTTAAAACTACTTATTGTGGTGACTCAGCAGCTAGTGTATTTACCCTTACTTCGTTTAGTGTTTTATGGAGAGGGCTTTACTGTAAAACCCAGTGATGTTTATTTCCTTATTTGTAATTGACATAAACATTTCACAGAGTTTTAGGAAGTGACTGGATGGATTTCTTTTTGTAAACATGTTTTTTTTTTTTTAGTTGTGAATCTCATAAAAAGATGATGTATGAAACTCGGGTTATTTTTTTTAATGCATGGTCTCATTATTTATATTTCAGCATTATGTTTTTTTATTCTACGGTACATCTTTTACAAAGTGACAACTTTTGACAAATACCAGATAGTTTATCTAGATTTCCAAAATAAGTTTCAAAGTGACAACCATTATGACCTCAACATGTAATTATACATTCTTGATTTACCAACCTATGTATTAATGAGTTATCTCATGAATATGTAACAAAGGAGACTTTGACCTTGGCATGGAGTAGTACCTTCACAGACCAAAAAAGTGGCCACATCTTTCTCTTGTTGCTTTTTCAATTAATATATTTTTTACTGTCTTTTGCAGAGACTAGCAACTCAATTCAAATCTTTAATTTTTGGTTAAAAGGTGACAAGTTTTTGAATAAAAAATTAATTTGAATAGTTTTGAGTACATGTTTTTTGAAGATGGAAATACTCATTTTACTATATTTTTTTTTCTTTTTAACTTTGTATCCCGTTTTTCCATCAGATCTTTGTCAAATAAGAAATGATTTATTGCAACGGAAGGACATACTCTCTTAAAATTGACTGCTGCAGACATCTTTGATTTGGCCGTCCATTCACCCCGATATAAGTTCTACAACAAACGCATTGTTTCGTTTTGACAACAAAATCAGGCACTTCAAGTAAACTGGAAAATTATTATGTTCATAAAATTCTGAGTTTCCACTTTAGCGGTCTTGAATTCTCTCTCCTGGTTTCAACTTGTGTTGTCTGTGTTTATAAAAATACACCTCTACTCGCCTTTCCAAATTAGATTAATTTAATTATGCAA